AGGTCAGGCAGAGGAATTCATAAAACATTGTACAGTACTTCAGTCAGAAAGAAGCTTTCTTAAAAATAAAACAAGAACCATTAAATATCTATTCATGTTACATCTGCTAGAATTTAGTAGGAAATCTTTTCATAATTACAAGTACTGATTCAAATTCAAGGCAGTTTCTTCAGTAAGTACCTTCTTACTGATTTTTATTTTACTAGGCTAGACTTATTAATGAAATTCCAATTAGTGATGTTTTATGAATAGTATGTGTTCATTTCACATCATTTGAGAACTCTTGTTTCCATCAACTGAACAGGACCCCCTTCACTCAAATTTGGATTATTCAGATTTGTGTGAACAGTCTGAAACTTGTTGAATCATCACATAAAATCGTCACGGCAACTATTTTCCAATTCTCATTTCTGAGTAGGTATCAGTGAGGGATATAGTAACAGAGACAACCTCACACACAGAACTCCACTTCTTCCTCCAGAATATTTATTTGCACTGAATTTTTCAGAGCTCAAACACATATAACCTTACACAAAAATACACAGCAGCTACCAAAAGTAAGGGAGTTTGTTGCAAGGCTGAACATAACCTTATAGTCAGAGGAAGCAGTGACAGAAGCTACTTAACATCCTTCATCAGTGTAGGAGATAGGAAGTAAGCTTTTTTTTTTTTTAATGTCAAGGAATTTCTATGTAAAAAGTTGGTTTTGTACTTAAAGTAAGTATCCTTTTATACAAGAACTCATAAGAAGCTGACAAAATATACATTTATTTCCTTAACATGTTTTAAAATATAATGCCCACTTTCAGTTAGCTATTATAGTTCAAAACTTTAGAAGAATGTTACCATTCAGAATGTACAGAACAAAGAGCATTGGTTCTCAATCTTTTACCAGATTACATTAGCACAGCTATTTTTATTTAGTGCATAAGCACACATTCTAAATTAGTACTGGAGGAACACCTGGCAACCTACCCAGCAAGTAGGTTCCCATTCTCAGTCACACCTTGGAGAAGGTTTTCTCTCTGTTACAGAAGTAACACAACCACCAAATGCTAAAATTAGTATCTGTGAATATTTACAGCCTTGAAATTTCATCATTCAATATCAAACAACCCTATACATACTGATGTTGCTGTTAATTCCTTTGTTAAAAACCTATTAAAGAAGTAAAGAACAAGATTTTTATTTATCTTAAAATTTTAAATGTCTGAATTAATACTGTTGTGTCTTCATTTCAAAAGCTTACTTAATTTTTGTCATATAGGTAAAATACTCATTCTACATACGTATGTTGATTTTTGCAATCTTCTACATGTTGCAACAACTTTTTTGTACATTAAGACAGGAATTTTTGGATAAAAAGAGGGCAAGATTTTACATTGGATATAAGGTTTTCAGTAGAGACAAGGAAAATTAATTCCAGAGCTACAAATCACTCTTTGGCAAAATCTTTTTACACCACCACTTGCATTTGTATACGGTAGAAATCAAATTACATATAGGTAAGCTGGCAAAAATGACCATTGATACACAGCAGAAGAGCACTATCTCGGTTAGGACCGGGAAGCGCAGTTGTAGCGTATATTCCCAAGGAGCCGCATGAGCTGTACAGCCCACGCTGCAACGCACACTGCTACAGCTACTACCCTGTTGGCATTCAAACTTCACGGGGTAAAACCAGCTGGGAGAAGTCTACACATCCTATAACTCATTCTGCAGTATCTGATAAAGTTAAGCACAGCTGTTGGGATCTACCTCAGCAGAGCTCTTACAAAACAAAACGCCTATTTTGCATCAAAAGTTATTGAAAGATCAAGGTCTGCCTGGCAAAAAGATGCATTCATTTATCTTTTAAAGATGACCTTCTGTGCCACATGACTACATTGTCTCTTTGAAGATAAATAAATGCATTTCCAAACCAAAGAAAATACACTTCTTTTTTTGCATCTGCTTAAGAGATGCCAAGGTAGTATTCTGGAACAGGCAATAATGGAAATTATTTCATTTATTGAAAAAATATTCCTGCTTTGATTTTTAAGTCTCAGTAATATAGCAGTACCTGAATTAAGCAGTCAAGCAAATGACCAAATTAAGAATTTTCTAATTTCCCTTAGTTCTGCACCAACTTAAAATTGTGAGTTCCAAAGTTATAATGTAACATTGAGCTCTCTTAATTCTAGTAACAATAAACATGAGTTCAAGCTGAAACGAAAAACATTACCTTAAAACATGTTCTAAAGAGCTGAGGTAAGATTTACCTCTTTGTAAAGCACTAAGCTGTGAGTAAACAAATCATTCTTTGCTACCAACTTATTCTCTCCACTGGTTTTATCTGACTCTAATTTTATACTTTTAAGGGCTAATGACATTGTAAATATTCTGCCTAACACCAGCTATATGCACGTAGGCGCACACAGTGGCTCATTTCACAGCTGTGGTTGGGATGCATAGTTACATCTACATCAGATGCAGACAGGGATGGAGGAGACACATGACACGTTTCCATAAACACGCAATCTACATTTAATACCTTAACCAGGCATAAACACCACCAAGTGCCTGGGGACAGGGTGCTCGTTTGTTATCAAAGTCAGCAAATAACAAAAATATGTGTTCATCAAGAACTAGACTGGCTGAGAGGGAAAAAACTTTTAGATCTGCAAGCAGTATCGCAAGCATAATCACAGGCTGATTGATACTCTCTTGGGGCATCCAGGGCCACCAAGAGTAACTCATCTCTTTGTTCCAGGGTTTGCCTGTTGGCCATCTACTTACTCTGGACTTTGCCAGCTAGGATCTCAACAATCCCTTTTAAGAGTTGTGATGGAAACAGCATCCATCCAGAATGACACAGTATTTCTGATAGTATGAAGAAAGCAAAGCTTGAATGGCCCTGGTCAAGCTGCCATGAAGGAATATTTGACCTCAGCTCTTGTTCTGCAAAAAACCACCCTCCCACAACTTCACAGCTATTTTCTACTATGACTTGGCAAAGAGGAGACAGTGGAGAAATGTTAAGCAGCCAAGCAGGATATGAAAGGTTTACATATCCATCTGCCTATCTCAATCAAACCAACACTTTCTCATCGGAATTTCTGACAGGAACAGTAAAGGCAGCTGATGGGAGACTGGCCTTCCCTGCTCATGCCTTGCCTAAATCAGCCAAATCCTCGAAGGGCCACCAAGTAAAATTCATTGCATATACATAGTATATCTAGTCACTGGTGAGTTATAGAACTCATAGGGAAACAATCAACATGAAAATGATAAAAACTAACCCGTTTACACAATAAAAGCCTTGTGTACCAGAATTTAAGCCTCAAACAACTCACGTGGATACAGAATCACATTCAGATACTATATCCTGCAAGTCTTTACAACTAAAAACTTCACTTGACAATAAGCTACTAGGCCAAAGCTGCTTCTGAAAAACCCGTATCATGAAGTACCTAACAACTTAAAAGTTGATATGAATATACTGAAGGATATTTTATGTATCAAAGCTATTGAATAGATTATTTTTACATTGTTTAACTTTCTTTGTATTGTTCTTAAAGTTCTTTCTGAATTCTCTAGCCTGATTATTCAGTGTACTTCCCCAAAGATTAGGAAAAACCTCAGTACAGTGCATAAATACAATGTGACTTCTTCCACATCGGTGTACACAAGCTTCACCCATAATAGACAAATTTTTCAAAACATATGAAAAAACCCACAGAAACTAAAATATTAGTTATCCTGCCCAAACATACAGCAACGTGAAAGCAATCAATGCAGATGGCTCAGACGGTACCACAAACCTTCAAGAAGTATAATAAGAATGCAACTATTCATTCTGTTTTCTGATCAGACAACATGCTCATCTTCTGTTCAGTCTATTAATTACTAATCAGTTACATTCACTGTTTTAAACAATCACCAAAGCATGACTTGGACACGGGGATACACACTCAGACAGAATCAAATTTTACAAGCAGTCATTAACTGACCTGAAATTGGAGTCCTTTTGCAATATTAGGTGTTGGAAACATGAATAAATTCATATTTGTAGCTAGACCACTTACAGAAAATCTTACATGCCAGACAATGAGACGGACCATAAAGTATATTTTTAAGTTTCTAACAAAAGTAGACCTCATGTGAGAGTTTGCTTTAAGAGCTGGTAATGAAAATTGTCATATAAACTACCACTATAGTGAAGAGGTAGGCAAAAAGAAATATACGACAAAAAGGAAGCCAGATAATATAGCTTCCAAGGACAGTTCTGTTATAATCTACATATCGTGCATTTCAGTTACAAAACTAAAACCTTAAACTATCCAAGCATATACTATGAGCATGTATTATATCATTGTGTCAGTTACGCACACTTTTGACATTCCATTTCTATATTACATTAAGGCTGAAATGGAGTTTCTGTCCTTAGTCTTGAATACTTTCAACAGCGAAACACTGCCACCTTTTGGCTGGATACATAGACCTCCCCATTATAATTGTAAATTTTTCATTGATTTTTTTTTTTTTTGCTACATTTGTCCTTTATGGAGACAGCTGTATTCTTGTGATCTTATTTTAAAGTTTATTCAGCAGCCAGATTTCTCCAGAAAAAAAAAAAAAAAAAAAGTTAGTATTAACTGGTAAAGAAACATTCTTTTTCTCACAAATATGGCTGCATAGCCAAACTCAAAAAGCACATTCCATTAAGCCACATAATGTTTTATCTGTTTTCTCTCTTTATCTCACAGCTCTTTTTTCTTAGCAGTTTTGGTAAACATATATACCATATCACATAATATCTTACATTTCTTTCAAATAAAAACTTGGTAATGCATTCTTCGAATGCTTTTGAAAACTGATTATAAGAATAACAATAATGCATTATTTAAAAAATCGTGTGCCTTGTTCATCTATATACTTAATATTCTACATTAAATATTAAATACTGTCAGTTCAACATTTATATAAACATATATTGAAATATATGCAAAATTACTCACACCAACGACACAATGTCCCCACGTTGTACATCATAGTTTCGAATGCTCCAGTGGTTTAAGAGCACTACATCAGATGCTTGTCTTCCCCCAGGATTCAAAGAAGGCTGAGAAAGGGGGGAAAAAACAGCTTCAGATCTACATTTCCTCTATGAATCTTCCACCTAACTCTCATTCCATCAACAGGTGCAATCCATTAAAATCAGTAAAAATGTACCTAGTAAAAAATCTGTTGTACCCACCCATAATCTGTTGCATTCTGGGAAATATATGTCTTTATTAAATGCCATGGTAAACGTCATTCATTTATGACAAAGTGCAGTTCACAACTTTCAATGCACTACTGCATGCAAATTAAATTACACATATTTATGACAAGCCTGATGAAAAGAAGTGATTACCTTTACTGCATACCATTTAATATTAAAAACAAAGGAGAACCAAGAACACTAAGTTTCAGAAAAAGCAACCTTTCTGCAGGCATCTTACTGCTTATACAAGCATAACGCACTAAAAATGAAATACGTAACTTGTAACAATAGTAATCTTGGCACCCTTTGCAAATGGAAAAAACCAAACCCTACACCTACAGCATATACTAACTCTGCCAGTAAACGTGGGCCTTCTCTAACAGGATATAAAGAAATATAAACTTTTACAGAACCATACAGTGAAATAAGACCGTTCACTAACCTCAATATTAAAACAAGCAAGTAATTAATTTGTACAGAGTATTAGGAGGTACACAGAACTCTACATAATCCCTTTGTGTGACAGAGTACCAAACCAGGGTACCTGGTCAATGCTGGCTCTGAGTTAACCCATCAGAAAGGGCAGAAGTTAGTAGCCCATCACAGTACTACTGCCTTCATTGATTCTTGCAAGGGTTAGTTCAATACAAATACTCCTTTTACTAGACAGAAAGTATTTAGGAGTAATCCAGGCTAAAAACTATGCTCCCAAACCGGGACGGATACTTGTTATTTATTTTTAACTTCAAAAGCGATTTAAAAGTGCTTATTTCTCTCTACTACAGTTTCCTCATTCATCTTTTCTTTGTTAACCAAGCCAGTTGATAACGACCTGTTTCACATGGGACTTGTGAAGAACTAGCTTTTCGGTGTGCAAGAAGAATGAATGTGCTGGGGTCTTGAGTAGGTGTAGTTCACATAAACAGAAAGTGATATGATAGATCAAAAGAACAAATATGTTCAGGTGGGAGGAGAGAAATGACACAATGTTTAGTTAAACAGCAAATGAGGCTGGGTACATTTTGAGCTGTGGATTACAAGGGCAAATTTCTAGTCAAGTAAGTCTGCAGATCAAAGCAGATCACCTTAACATCCACAGAATTAAGGTCCAAGTCTAAGCCAGAAATATACTAAGTCATTGCTATTTTATCTAGTTATTTTAGTCTATACATTGCAAGAGCCAGATAAATGAAAACCAGAAGCTAACTGGAAGATATTTGATAATTATTTTTTTAACCAGGATTTTCCAGAATGATTTTCCTCCTTCATAGCCTCTTCCACATACAAATTATTTACATACAAGTTCACACAAACAATTCACAGCTATACACATTTTACCAAATGCAGCACAAATGGGCCACAAACTAAAAATGACACTAAATATAAGGCGAAGAGGCTGATCTTACAAAGCAGGAATCACATGTATGGTATACTCTCATGAAGTAAATGGCTTGATACTCAAAAGGATCTAATTTAAAGGATCAAAAGAGAAGGCCAAAACAAATGGAAATTTTAAACCCATTGCTCCAAAAGATAATGTATTTCACAGCTGATACTTAGAAAAGATTTACATGAGCATTCACAAACTTTTCCTCTCAACTAAATCTGTATCAACTTCATCGTACAGAGAAATATACCAGGTAGTTACAGCATTACTCTAGTTGCATTATCCCAGACACCTACTGTCTTCTCCACTTAAAAAAAGGAAATGCTTTAGAACATGAATACATTTAGATATTGCGTAATGTTTTTAATACCGTATTGCTTCCTATTTTTAACTATATATTGCTCGTGTAGTTTTGACATACAGAGTGGATATCCAACTCAGTACACATTAGAATTAAGTTTGAGAGAAATATGAAGAATTTTTTTTTTCTTTCCCACAAAACAACCTGATGTATTCAAAATAAACAGACAAAAATACTATTTTAGTAGAAGAACTGTAAAGAAAACTAGGACACAACTTTCATTTTACATCAAGAATTAGATTTTTTCATTTAAAAAAAAATGATCTATATCCTTCAGCAAGTTATTTTCTAATGTAAATAACATGAATTGTGATTTCTCCCCACCCCCCCAAAAAAGCATAGAAAGAATTTAATGCAGTGTGTTCAGAGGCAACGTATGGCCCATGACATTTTTACTAGTAGTGAGGTCTCAGGTCTAGCAAAACAAAAATACAGCTTTTGAAAAAGCAGTCAACAAAATAGGCTCAAAAGGGCTCTTTATTTTTAAGAAACAAAATAATACAGGAGCTTCTTCCTTCCTCTAGCTTGAAGTGTTATAACTTGTTTGCCCAAGTTCTTGGCATAATAGCCTGCTACAAATGAGACACACAGGTCTTAATTTAGAACTGTGGTGCAGAAGTCACAAAACATTCACTCTTTCCAATTACTAGCTAATCTAATGCTAAAAGCATGCAAATTGAGATCCCCAGCCATATGATGAAGCCTCACAGGACATGAGGTTCCGTAAGTAGGAGGGTAAAAGCATGCCCTTTTACTATAAATAATGATTAACTTGATAGTTGTTATGCTGCTAGTGAATACCAGAAGGTCACAACTTATTTGCTTATAGCTTGGGGAACAGAACACGAGCTCACAGGCTTAGGTACAGTAATCCTAATAATAAAGTTAGGAGAAACTGCCACAGAATAATTACAACTGCCATTATGCATAATGGAATAGAACATTCAATAATGTTTGCTGCTGAAACAAGTGTGCTTCGTCAGAGATGGCTGGTCAGGCTACTTGCTATAATCCTCTGTATTGAACTGTTTGTAACAGAACTTGCATATAAAGTTGCACAGACACTGTCATCTTCCATCTCTCGAAAACAGTCCATTTGATTTAATGAATTTACAAATTTATATATCCATCAGGGGGTTCTCTTTTCCACATCATTATGTATGAAGAGTTTGTAATACCAGACAAGCAATGAAACTGAATAGAAAAAAACATAAATGCACATCAAGGTGTCCATATGATAACATTTTAAAGTATATATCCAGCATTACAAGAGGAGTCACAAAAAATCCACCACAGCCAATTAAGAAATCATATCATCAGTTATTTGTGTCACTGACATTCAATGTTCTAAACAGATTACAATTCACCTGAAACCCACTATTAACAAAATGCTAGAGAAGCACATCAATCCATAAAATCCTAAACAACAAAACTACTTCATGTGAGGATTAAAAAACCCAGTGATTATGGAAAGAAAAAATAAGGTAATGAAAAAATTAAAAAATGTTAAAATTATAAACTGTGACAGTTCACTGTTTTTCCCTATAGGTTAGAGTTAATATACACTAAAGTCACTGACATACACTGAAGTCAGTGCAAGTGAAAGAACGACAGGTGGGTGAAAGCACTGTAGAAACACAAAATCAGCTTCCAACAATGAAATGCATGAAGTCTGTCCTAACCGACTGGGAGTAAATCAGAAAATTTGTATTTTCATTAGAACCTTTATTCAGCGTGCTTGCCGGGGTGTCAAAATCTTACCATCGCCCATAACTATGAAGCAGCAATAAGGCCGGTCCAAAACAAAAACAGAAAGGGGAGGGGGGGGAAGAGAGCATGCAAGAGAGAATGAGAGTGGGAGAACAAGCATGAAACAGAGAGATTTATTCCTGGCTTCTTGTCAGAACTTTTAATTTCAGGCTCAGCAGGAGCCACAACGATGAATACCCAAAGCCAGCTAGACATTTTAGAGGTCTATTACAAACAAATTATTGGGAATCATACCATGGTATCTTCAAATTGAGATAATAAGATATCGTTGGAAGCATGCGATTGAGGGATATATGAGTACATGCTGACTAAACGTCACTCTCCCTCAGACCCACTGCTTTCAGATACGTTCAACACAGACCACTCTTCAGAGAACACAGTAAACAGGAGGAAATGCAACGCGATGACCAGTACTCCTTTAAGCTACTGCGCAAAGAGGACATATTCCTTATAATTATGTCCCTGTCAGACTTAGTTAGATGTCTAATAAATCTTGGCAAGGAAATTAGTATCTTACTAAAAGCACAAGGAAGTATTTTTTATAGTCTGAAAAATATCAAAGTTTAAAAGAAACTTCTATTTCAGTGCTACAGTCCAGAATAAAACCAGAAAGATGATTTTACAGATGCTGTGATGTCAGTAAAATTAGAAATGTCATCTTTCAAGCTACCCATGCTTCAATAACAGAGGGAATGTTTAGTCAACAGATATATCAAGGGAAGAGCTTAGATTTTAATCACTCGGTGAATATATATTGCTTTCCCTAGCCACTACGAAGACTGCATATCCTTCTTTGTCAGCTTGAATAAATCTGAGCAAATAACTGTAGTGTTTTCCAAATCTTCCATGGATAAACCACAGTTAACTATATGCCCTTCAAGTGAGTACAAAAGCAACACTCCAGAACAATACCAGAGTGCTCTCTAACACTTGAGACTTTGACTTCAAAGGAAACAGAAAACTGAGGGCTTGACCTGAGGGACTCAACAGACTTGTGGAGTAGGGAAACCTAGAGAATTTCTTTCCAGCTACTGAGGTAAAACTATCTAAACAAAAACTGATGTCAAACAGAAGATTATGCCAGATACAGAAAAGAGCAAATGATGAAAGACAATGTGGCATGCTAAAAAAACCCAACCCCTTAGGAAAAAAAAAAGAAAAAAAAAGAAAAAAAAAAGGAACAACATAAAATTCAAGATGCATCTGTATCTTGAATGCTGCATGTGGCTCTAAATCCCAACAGAGGCAAAAAAAAGGGAGATGGAAAATGGGACAGTTGTATTAGTCCGTCTGATTTTGTACTTATCTAGATGCTCTATGTTTGAGTTTCTCCTGTCTGGAGCTAGTAAAAAGATAATGAAGCTCGTTTTCCCCATTTCCCACCCCTCTCCTTTCTAGAGCAAATTTCTTGCTCTGGAACTGTAATCCCTAAAATCATCCTACCTTTGACTGGTCATCAATGATATTCAGAATAACATTCATGAAAAGGACAAAGGTACCTTACGTTACACCTAACTTCTGGTCCTTGATTGTAGAATTACTGGAATACAGTGATTTTACTTTAGTTCCCGTTTTTGAGGCAAGAGCTGCCTTCTAGACCAGCTGAGGTTACTTGACAGAAGTTAAACACCAGATTACAGATGGTCACAAAAGGCACAATGCCACCTTGCTATTCCCTCCTCCCCACTCCACACTTTTCTATAGTATTACACACAAATCAGCCAGACCCAGGTTCTAGCCCAAGTTTTGACTGCATGAATGCTGCACAATTCAAACCCCAGCAGCTGGTCTTGATTGTTGTGAAACCTCTCTTCAAGGTTCTGAGCTTAGTCAGATAATCAGAAAATAGGGCTGGGCATCTGAGAATCAAACCCTGAGTCTATGCTAACTGGAATGTTGCAACATTGGAACAAAATAAATTATAGTTATCAGTGGTGATGCACAGCAATATGCAGTGCACATGATTTAAAATGCAAAGTAACAGTACAAAATTGGCTAACTACATTACAATATACATTTTTCAAGTCCCAGTAACAGAGGAAACAAAGTAGCTGTTCATTATCATAAATATTTATTTTTCTTCTAAATGTTACACAACATATTTATATTTATTTATTTGTACTGTATAAACACTCAATATAACCAAAGTAAAAACAGTGAACTGTTTTTATGTCCTGCTAAGCATAGGTATTAATATTTGATTCAGGCCATTTTCAGTATTCTTCACTGAAATGGTGCCATATTTGTTCATTAATAACAGCAAGTTCAACAAGGACCAGTTTTGCCTTACAGTTACTATAATGCAGTTACTAAAAATTAATAAAGGCTCTTTGTGAGTTATCAATTCAATCCCAAGAGACAAAAGGTCGTGCTCAAAAAAGAAATCTTTATTTCTAAATGACTAGGAAGATAAAAAAACCCGTATCTTTATCACTACTTATCTATATATTTTCCTTTTACTGAGACAGAATTTTGGCAACTTTTGTTCTCTAAAGCTTTTCTTTTCACATCATACAGATATTTGTTTAACAAAGTTGAAATTAAACTATCCCATACTACAATGTGGAATTTAATACCAGCTGAGAAAAAGATTTTTTTTCTACCTTGCTATTGTCAGTGGACAGTCACTTTTTAATTTCCTAACACACCAAAGATATTTCCAGCAATACCTGCATTGATACTCCTTCCACCCTTGCTACACAGGCAACTCTGTCCAAGAAAGTCACAGTTACCGGAACAGCAACAAAGAAACCTTTTAAAAAGGCTTTAACGTATCTCTTCCCCAATCCTTGAGCCTGTGCCATAATCTGAAAAATACGAAGAAAATGGGGGGAAAAAAAGTTGTTATAAAACAAATTTTAAGTAACGACATTGTAGCAATGAAAAAAGGAGCAGTTAAGAATAAATTAATTATATTATCTCTTAGGATCTCCCACTATCCAGTGGGAAAAAAAAATAATAAAACAATGTGCACATGAGAATGAAAAAGAACACAAATTTTCATCAGAATTTAAGTCTACTCTACATTAGAGAGCTTGATACTTGACACTTACCCTTTATCTAATTTGACCATTTCTTGTGATCCTGTGCTAGCAGAAGTACTTGATAAAAAATGACCCAATTCAGCTAAGCGAGAAGCAAACCGATACAACCAGAAAACTAGATCAAAATAACCAATTACAGAGTATTCAGTTGAGAGTTTACAACTGAAATTCTGTAAATAATTTTCTTTCCAGACACTGGCAATTATTAATTAGTGGCCCCCAAAGACGGATTGTGCTATGTAAAGGAAAAGCTGGCAATTTGCAACATATTGCCATTTCTTTCTATTTTCACATATAGAAGTGCACAAATGCACACTTGTGGCAACTGCAAATACATGAAATCAATTCAAATTGTCATGTGTATCACAGGGACACACAGTAACACAATGACTCCACACAATTCACTAGCACATCAGAAAGTTATAAGCATATTGGCAGACTGGGCAGCTAAGTAATGACACATGGGACTGCTCCACTCCAACTCCCCATTTATTATGCTATCTCCCATCTCTTTATTTAGCCCCAAACCACTAAACATTCTTGAAAAACACCTACAAGGTACATTGAAACAGAAAAGTTGTTTGATCGTATTACTAATCCCTCTGAAAAGCAAGCTGAGTACTCAGGTACTGATGAAAAGGTACAAGCCTATTTTACGTAACTGCAGTTTCATCATAAAAAATGCTGCCCTTCACCTTTTGGCAAATCCAATTTGAACTGTTGTTTCCACCTAATGAATCCCTGATACATCCCGCACAAGATCAGTTTGTAGAATCTCTGCTCCTTCTTTTACATCCTAACTCAAACCGACATTAATAGAAGGAGAAAACAGACTGAGCCCTCAACTTTTTAGTCCTTCAGAGTGATTATATTCAAGAATACAGAATTATTTTTCAACCAAAATAATGGAAAAGATAAGTACATGCAGTTTGGTTCAATCCTCTTACAAGCAGAATATTTAAAATTTCACAATATAATATTTTCTTTGTTGCATTTTCAGAAATATGGAAGTGATGAACTATTTGTATGCAAATTACAAATTCAAATCACTCCAATGAAAGCAGTATTTCTGTCCCAGATACGGCTACTTAATTCCATAAAGCTCCTTACACTTAAGAGAGGGAACCCAGCACTACAATGTAAGTCATCAGCATATTCTTCACTGAAATTCTTTATAGATATTAATAGCCTTGCAATGACAAGATCTGTCTTCTAAAAGACAGCAACATCTTTACTATTGCTTCTGACATTCACCTTCACAAGGTTTTAAATCCATTTTTTTTTTAAATGGGAAATACTTCATCACCATCTGTAACTCTTGCTCATAACATAAGTTTAACTACTAAAATGTCTAAATGTACTTAATGGTTGCAATTTGATTATATTTTCTTACTGCACATTTCATGAAAACATTTCCAATTTGCGTCAACAGCTTTCACAAAGAATCTGAAATAGGCTGTGAGACTGAATAAAAACTTCATCAATTCAAGACAAATGTTAAAATGCTTTACTTTCAGCTTATCATTTAAAAACTCCTTATTGGAACCAATTCACCAAAAGAGATTCTTACCTAAATTGGCACAGGTTTACCTTTTATTCCATATAATAACAGAAAGTCTAAAAATCAGGTATTTGTCTACTGTTCAACAAACTGTATCATTTTATACACCTTAACACCCTTCTCTCAACCTTCACTTCTTGAGTTTTCTCCTCTGCTATGAGCTCTAGCACACCTCAGACCTCCTCCAGTCTAAGAGCAATGTCAGCCCTAAAACACAATTTTAAGACCTTGCCCACAAATGTATCCACCATGTTTTATGTACAGCCACTCTTTGAACTGAAAGATGTTGCCTGACAGATGTACCATAATATGACAGATTTAGGAGTATTTTTTTTTAGTTTCATGAAATTAGAGAAATTTACTTACTGTTTAAATTCCTCATAGCCAAACTTTTTTTTCATTAATAATGACACATGATTGTTGACCCCCAGTCCTTCTACTAAAAGTATTCACAGGCTTTGTCATGAACTTCTTGCAACAGACTCACGCTAGTATCTACAGAAAAATCTAGTGTCTGAAGACAAGTAATCAGTCAGACAATGCACTGGAGACGAACCATATGCTCCTGGAACCACCAGCTAATTAATAGTGACACAGAATCTAGCAGCCATGTTAAAACATTTAAGACAAAATGCTACATTCTCAGCACATCACTTGGCCAAGGCAACACCAGAAACCTTAAGCAGCTGTGGGCAAAGCTGACAGTTCAGATCCTGCTTTTGTGTTTTCAGACACATGCAGTGTTACAATGCACAGCATGAATAAAGATGAGGGGAAAAACACCACCAGCACCCCTACAAGCATCCAATTTACAAAACCACCAAAGCCAACAATAGCTGTTGTGCTGAAAGACCTCTCTACTTGTCCTGAATTTTGCTTCTTTCCTCTACAAGGCAACTGATCAAACCACTGGTTTTATCTTCCATCCACACCAAGATGAATCCTTCACTTCCAAACACGTGCTACGTTCTGAAAGTTTTCTGGTTCCCCACCTCCCATAGTAACAGACAGCTTTTCCCCAGGACACAAACAGAGCAGGCCTGTGGATTATTCTATTGAGGAAGCCCTTCTTCCCAGAAGATAGTAAACATACGCACACACATTTTAAGCAGTTTGAGGAAAAAATACTTAAAAACAAATTCATCTTTAATCTTAAGTCCTTCAATATAATAAAACATTTTTAATACAAGAGTAAGAAGTTACTACATGTCATTATTTCATTGACCACTGTGCTCGTTTTTGCCGGGTCTGTTTCATGAGGTCTATTCCCCTCCAAAAAGCGCAGACAAGCATTTACCATGGGGTAAGCATATGCACATGCAGAGTTGCTGTAATCCTGCTCCAGCAAAGGGAAGGTTACCCAGCACTCCTTCAGTAAGAGGGGCTTCAAGTTGCCCTGCCTTGAAGGGCAGGGGAAGAGCTTGAATGTAGGCAGCAGAATGATGGTTTGAAGCATTATCTTCTACCAGTAACTGTACACATGAATGCATAATCCTCAACCAATAAACACTGTTTGATTAAAATGTGCAGCACTTTCTTTTCTTATGCTTAGGTGGTCTTAAGAGAAAAGAAGGGGAAAAAGTAACAATAAGCATTTACTGCAGCTACAAGAAAGAATTTAGGGTAGCAAAGGGTAGACAACACAGGTCCTTACAACTTTTTCTAGAAGCAACTAATTTTCTGGTTGGAGTATTTGTTTACAAATACAGAAAACATTAGATAGCTATCACTCCTGGAGATAATATTCTGCTCTTAGACATTATATTTTATAACTTCAATACACTGTATTTTTTTAGAAAAAACATTCAACTTAAAAAAAAATTGTGAAAGTTACTAAAGATAATATTGCCGTAACTTTCTAATATTTCAATTTGACACATTCTTCTCTATATTATAGAGAAAATTTATATTTATAATATAGACTATTTTAGTCTACATTTATTTATATTTATATTATAGAGATATATTCATTCTTTTATATTGTTCTATATCAAATTCATGAATGGTTCATTAAAAAAATGCATAATTCTCACATGTCATTTATAAATAAAAATTTTGATGTCCATTGTTCAAAGTGAATCACAAATTTTAGCAAGGTTGAAATTAAGTATTTCCAAGTCTCTAATCTACTTTAGTTTTAGAATCTGAGGTTACAAAGTTACTTCTAATGCTCCTTTAAATTATGGTTTACTTATTCTTTTTGAGGAAGAATACCATCCAGAATGGATATGCAACTTGTTAACAGCTTTAAATCTAATTATATAGAATCTGAAGTAGTGTTGAGCAGTAACAGCCAACAAAAATGTTAAGGACAAGCTGCTGATTATTTCACAGGTATATTAAGATATGCTAACAAATCTGAAAGACATAACATGATTTCCTAATATATAAACAAAAAAAAAGATGGTAATCTTATATACTACTTAAAAATTGTAAATTCATTCAAGTAGTACATCAGTACTTGATGAGTTGGTTCAAGCGCTTCCTAAAAATAAGAACTCTGTGAAGTAGCAATGTTTAATGATACTGAGTGGAACTCCCTGATATAAATACAGATTATATTTATAGATCACATTTCCAGAGTCAAATAATGAAATCCAGTGATATGCCTGTTTTACGCTGACAATTAAATATACAGCAGGTTTAAATGTATGTCAGTGGAGCAAGCAAAGCATCTTTGCTGAAAAAAACTATATTTCATTACCACATATTTCTGGATCCCTGCCCAGTCAATGACACCTTGAATAAAAATCAACGAATCACAACAAATCACATTTCTTGCACCAAAGATGGTGCAAGAAAATCAAACACATAAGCCATCGTAAAAATAATTTAGAGATGCATACACATCAGCATTTATAAATTGTCCTTGGTTTAGGATAAAAAAAACACAGAATAATTCCGTAGAACTCACAAACTTCAAAGCACCAACCTTGAAAACTTGTTTGAAATGGCAACATGGACAAGAAAAATCCAAGATCAAAAATGCTAGCATATAGCAGGTCAAAGCATTAAGAATTTCACATTGTGCAGCTCAGAGATTAAGGCAGATGGAGCACAGCATTATCTGGACTGAAGTATCTGGTGCACAAAAGGTCCAGGGATTATAATGAGCCTCTCGTGGGTACTACAACATATGGAGCAGAGATGCTATTTAGATAGCTCTTTACATATAAAATGTTTATTTTTTCTAACACTTGCC